GAGCTCCAGTAAGTAGGCTACACGTAAGTTTCTAAAATGGATTTACATAACCATATAACGTTACATCTTAAATACGCTTATTTAAAATGTCTATTTACATCTGAAATGAAAATATTGTTTAAGTATTGCAGATGAGCACATCCCAACATGAAAAATACATCTGAGTGATGTAACGTTATGTGTGCTATTAATATGAAGGATAATTCACTGTTGTCAACAACACTACTTACATTAGACAAATGTACTGTAAATAAGGTAAATAAACAAATCTATAAAGTAACTAAATATGTTATATTTAATTTGTCCCTTATTAGTGTTGATATATTGAGGAACATTTAAGTTGGATTAAAAGTGAGTTAACACATCAACCTCAGCATGTAAATTCAGTGTTGAACTCGTAATGTGAATCTTGTCTGTATGTTACAGGGACAGAAGAACACGCGTGTGTTTATCCGGTGGAGAGAGGCTCATGATGCTGAATGCTGTCATGAAAGGCTCTGAGTGAGTATACTACAGAAATGGATAACAAAATCTATTCAATCTTAAATTGTAGTTTATTTGAATTATTGTACAAATTTCAAGTAGAGAAATTACAACACTTTTCTGATTCTTGATTTCTGTGCATTTGCTGCATAGCTTTTGTGGTGGAGCAGGACCTGCAAGGAAAGATGATGGCAGCATTTGTTTTAGGGATTTTACTCAAATATAAAGTAAGGTTATTTTTAATACATAAATCAAATGACATTGTGTTAAAATTACTGCTTTTGTATAATGTTTGTGCATTTTTGTAGGATCTGAAATGTCTGCAGACTGGTGTGAGCACTGAGGATGAGGAGCCTAGAGCTGCATCCTGGAAGTGGTGCCATGGATGAGTCCCTCCATCTGTCCACCTGCCCTTATGAGACCCTTGATCTCTCCACCTGCCCTTATTGCCTCAGATTGTGAAGCGCAGCGCAGCAACAAGCTCTGGGACGAAGGCACAGTCCCCTCTGGTGAATTCATCAGAATAAAGCCGCAGAATGGGAACCGCTGTGTTGAGACGGCATTAGGATGTGGTGTTCAGCCCTGTATGTTTGTAGTTTGAATAAAGCTTTGTTTCATGTGTTGTTGACTTGTATAATGCATTTGTTTATTGTGATGGTTACTTTTATTTGTTCTTTTACTCATTTATTCATTTTTATTATTGTTGTCAGTATATAAAATTGAATTATTTAATTAATGTATCCATTAATTCATTGATTGACTGATAATTGAGATGTTTCACTGCATTTATGAATATAAATTTATTCATGCATAACTGTCATATGACAAAACAAATTACATTTTGCTTGTTATATTAAATTATATTTTTAGTATATAAAAAAGTTATATAATTAAGTATTGGTCAGCATTTAATATTATTATTTTGTTTAAGTTTTGGGGTGGGCTAACAATGCAATTCATTCTGAGGTAATATTAGTTTTTAAGGAGTGATACTTTTCGAGTATAAAATCAACAGTTTTCTCCAAAAGAGATCTTCGAGCAGCTGCCCGTCTCCTTTGTGCAGACATTACAAACGCAGAGGAAAACTGTTCTAGGTTGTGCTGTCGAGTCACTGATGTTATGAAGTGTTAGTACACCTGTCACTCATAATTTAAACTTATAAACGTATTACATACAAGATCATGGAAAGATACCATAATAGTCATAATGACAAAACAGAAAACTTAAAGATCATTGGTTTGTTTACATCATAATACAGGAAAAAGGAACAATAACAAGGCTAAATATCTTTAAATAGTTCTTCATAATACATGAAAAATGTTGTTGTTTTGTTGTTATAGGTCTGAGGGATGAAACGGTAAATTCATCAAGAAAAGGAGGAAAACTTAAAGGAGAAAGGTTTTGGGTATAAAATAAAGAAATTAACAACATATATTCAAGAGGTGACGATTTGGGGGTTTCTTAATAAAAAAAATATCAGCTGTTTCTTCAACAATACCACAACAAAATGAGAAAGTTTCATCAATGTCAAGATATTTATAGATAGAAGAATTAAACGTGTCGCTGTTCATTTCTTTGCGAGTTTGCGCTTGTGATATGATGATAACACGTCGTAGTAGGTCACATGATAACGTCAACATGGCAGATATCCGGTTCTCATTCATACTCAACGAGATTTGGCTATAAAGTACCTACTCTTTTAGCACTCGTTGAGTAAGTACTTATTGAAATTAAGTACCTACTCATTGAGTATGCGGTTTTGGACGCAGCCAGCGTAACATAAACAATGACCGACCCTGAATGAACGGGACAGAGGGAACTAAATACATGGATGAATCAAACATAATGAGGTGGAAAACAGGTGAAACAGATGAAACAAGACGCTGAACGGGAGGCTGATGAGGGAGTGAGTTCAGGTGTGCAGACGAGAGGATCATGGGAAGTGTAGTGTAGGAGGCGCAGACAGAACGGTGCAGACGAGACTATGGGTGCTTCTCATTTCTTATTTGTGCATCCTCGTTTCCTTTCCTTGCTTCCTTTCCTTGCGTCTCGGCTCCACCCCCTGTAGGACGCGAGGGAAGGATGCGAGGAAAGGAAAGGAGGACAGAGGAATCTAATAAAAGCTTTTTTATATACATTGGAATACTTGATCACTCGAGCGTCACTCCACAGTGTCATCAGCAGCGCTAAAAGGATATGCCCTTATGTTGTTGAAGTTTGCTTATTTAATAAATTTATAATAAATAATAATAAAGGTAGGCTATACTGTTGAAATATCTGAGATGTGTGGTTTATATAAACTGCAAAGGTAAAGTATAAATTAAAATGATTGTGACCGATGTGAAGGGGGAGGAGAATTTGCATGTGCGTCACGTTTAGTCAATATAACAGTTCCGCGTAGGATGCACCTGTGTATCCTCGCTTATGACTCCTCAGGAAGCCTCCTATCTCCTCGATCCTCGACTCCTCACGGTGCAATTAGAGAATTGAGATGTCCTTCAAGATGGCTGAGCTCGATCGGTTTCCGGGTCATGGGAGGGAGGACGGAGGAGCGAGGAGACGAGGAGCGATATTGAGAAGCACCCTGTGACATGTATGTGCTGCAAATGTGATTTTTTAATTTAGTTTGGATTTTCCCTTCAAATCCTGCATTTTGCATTCTGACTTTCTTTACTTGGGCTATTTCATCATCTGAACTGAAGTGCCTCTTTCAATAATCAAAACCCTAACCCTAACCCCAATATTTAAAATCTCTAGAATTACATTGTCACTAACTGACTGACCAGAAAACTCTTGAGTATTTCCATTGAATAAGGGCATTTGGCTGTTACTAGGGGTTTGATTTATTCTAGCCATCTCAAGTCATTAGAATTCCATTATTTTGATAGATAAGTAGCTTCTGTAACCCGTTCTTCATATTGTACAGTGACCATTTTCGGGATATTTTAAACCATTTGTATACATTTTAAAATAACTATATTGAGATAAGCGTATTGCAGTAACTCATAGTTTTGCAGTAACACAATTAAACTACTAAAAGTTGACACTTTGAATATTTAGTGTCAATGATTAGGGTTGGAACTAATATCTGCTGAACGCCAACACTCCAGGACTGGATTTGAAGAGCCGTGGCCTATACTGTACCCACATACATAATTGCCAACAGTATTGCGACACCCATCCAAGTTATTGAATGGGGGTGTTTCAATCACTTCCATGGCCACAGTTGTATAAAATCAAGCACCTAGGCATGCAGGTGCTTCTACAAACATGTGTGAAAACATAGGTCGCTTTCAGGAGCTCAGTGAATTTAAGCGTGGTACCATGATAGGTTTCCACGTGTGGAATAAGTCCATTCGTGAAATTTCCTCACTCCTAAATATGGTCAACTGTTAGTGGTATTTTAACAAGGATTATACTGTAAATCACAAATATGCTGTATATAAATGTTTTAATGATTGCACATATGTTTTTTACAAGTGTATAGTTTATGAAGTCATTTACAGATGCAGAATTTATATTTATTCCATAATTCATTATATCACAATTATACTTGTATATATTTCCGCATTAAGGATCCATATAGAGATGACTTATGTGGAAACTACCCTGGACCCATGTAGGCAGCCTACTGTATATGGGACTGTTTGTGTTTGCCCATGTCTGAACCATGCGGTTTATCAAAGTGAGCCCCGTATGTTTTTCCCATTCAGAACCCATATAGAGATTACCTGTGAGGGAACTACCTTGGGCCCATGTAGGCAGCCTAAATAGGACTGTTTGTGTTTGCCCATGTCTGACCCATGCGGTTTATCAAAGTGGGCCCCATATGTTTTTCACATTCAGAACCCATATAGAGATTACTTATGAGGGAACTACCTTGGGCCCATGTAGGCAGCCTATATGGGACTGTTTGTGTTTGCCCATGTCTGACCCATGCGGTTTATCAAAGTGAGCCCCATATGTTTTTCCCATTCAGAACCCATATAGAGATTACCTATGAGGGTACTACCTTGGGCCCATGTAGGCAGCCTAAATGGGACTGTTTGTGTTTGCCCATGTCTGACCCATGCGGTTTATCAAAGTGGGCCCCATATGTTTTTCACATTCAGAACCCATATAGAGATTACCTATGAGATAACTACCTTGGGCCTATCTAGGTAGACTATATATGATTCATTGTGTTTGTACATGTCTGTCCCATATAGTTTGGCCATGTGGGCCCCATATGTATTGCCCCATTCAAAACCCATATAGAGATTACCTACGTGGGTGCCACATTGGGCTCATGTAGGCAGCCTATATAGGACTGATTGTGTTTGCCCATGTCTGACCCATATAGGTTATGAAAGTGGGCCCCATATATTTTTCCCTTTCATAACCCATATAGAGATTATCTATGTGGGTACTACCTTGGGCCCACGCAGGCAGCCTATATGGAAATGGTTGTATTTGCCAATGTCTCACCCATTTGATAAACCCAAATGGGCCCCATTTCTGTTGCCCATTTTTAGCCCATGCCCTCATTTCCCATTAGTGACCCAACTAGGACCCACATAGGGAGCCCACCTATTTTTGCCCATGTGGGACCAACGTAGCTGACCCAAGTGGGCCCCAGAAAAGATGCCCATTATGGGACCATACCCACTTGGTACCCACGTAGCCCAAGCATAAACCATGTGGGGCCCACATGTACATGTTGCCTGGGAAATTGTGTACTTTAGATATTTGTATTGGTTTGATCTCATTTCTGGTTGTCTTTTGCTCTTTGTTACAGTTTTACAGTATAATAAGAAAAGTAAAGTTTCTTTGTGGAACCCAAGAAAAGTTATGCCTTGTGTCTTTTTGGAGAACTTTACACTGTTAGCTAACTGTCGAGCTTTGAAGAAGCAACTCATTGCAAGGGCAGTATACATCCCTCTGCGTATGCAGCAGAGATGCTCACAAGTCTCTGAGCTAGAGTCCAAGTCAAGTCTCAAGTCTCTGAGCTAGAGTCCAAGTCAAGTCTCAAGTCTCTGAGCTAGAGTCCAAGTCAAGTCTCAAGTCTCTGCGCTAGAGTCCAAGTCAAGTCTCAAGTCTCTTTATTATAATAAGTCTCTGGTTATAATAAGTGTTGCATCACATACAGCGACCCATCCAGGCTGCTTAGAACACTGTATAGCTATATATAAGGAATTCAAAGCATGTAATATGTTATTTTGACTACTTTATCTATTAGCGTACAGTATTAGCTTTGATTTTGGTATATTAAAATCAAATGTATGTAAACAGGCTATTGCAACATGACAAAAACACCAAGAATGTTTTACTTTTAAGTTAATATCTGTATTTTGCCTTGGTGCATGAACACACAGTACAGTACAGTACAGTACAGAAAACACCATTGCAACAAACCAAACGATGTGAAATATACTATCCACAAAAATTAACACACTACACTTCCTTTTGATAGAAAATCCGGTAACACTTTACAATACGTGTGCACTAATAAGCATTCATGCTTAACTAATGCACAGATAATACTGAATTAATGTGTAACAAATGATTATTTAAGCTATTCATTAATGATTACCACATTAGGAACTAATTAAGAGTCTGTAAGGTTAATATATTAGTTCATACATGAATTGTTATTAATTAAATATGTAATTGTGGATTAATTCCATAATAACTCATTTTTTTTAACTAATAGCGTTAATTATTATGTTAATTACCAGAATGAGCCAAAGTCTTGTATTTCAACTTCCAGGTAATATGACAGGTATACTAATATGCATTAATACATGATTAATTACTTCATTGTTAGTGCAAATTCATGTGCAAATTACTACAATTACTAAATGACTAGTTAATAATGATGTGCCTCATCAAGTAAAGTCATAGCATAATGATACCTTTGCAAATCATTAGCTAATGATTAATTAAAGCAGACAACTGGAAGTTGAAGTGCATAGCTTTGACTAATTGTGGTAATTAACACATTAATTTACACTATTAGTTAAGAAAATATGTTATTAAGGAATTTATACACAATGACACATTGAATTAATAGCAATTCATGTATTACTTAATCTATTATTAATATTGACTCTTTATTAGTTGCTGATGCAGTAATGTTCAATTAATGGTTTAGTTCTTCATTAGTTATACATTAACTCTTGATTATCTGTGCATTAGTTAAACATGAATTAATGCACATTAGTACACCCGTATTGTAAAGTGTTACCGAAAATCCTTATAGAGAATTATTTGTTATTTACTTAGTGGCTGGATAGCACAACATTCAAACGCTCAACATTTTAGAGTGAATGTAGCAACTGACCAACTTATGGCATGTAACTTGTTAAGAACAAAATGTTTAGAAATAATAAAATAAAATAAATCCAAAGGATGAGATTTCAGACTGGTTACCTTCTCATCTCTTAAAGGATTAGTTCACTTTTAAAAAAACTTTTGCTGATAATTTACTCACCCCCATGTCATCCAAAATGTCCATGTCTTTCTTTCTTCAGTCGAAAAGAAATGAAGGTTTTTGATGAAAACATTCCAGGATTTTTCTCCATATAATGGACTTTAATGGGACCCAAACGGTTCAAGGTCCAAATGACAGTTTCAGTGCAGCTTCAAAGGGCTTTAAACGATACCAGACGATGAATAAGGGTCTTATCTAGCGAAACGATCGGTCATTTCAAAAATAAATAAAAAAGTTAAAGTTTTATAACCTTTTCAACGTAATTGCGTATTACGTGACGTCATGAATGCGCATCACAGACCCGAGCAAGGTGAGCATTTGTGCTTATAAAACTTAAACTTTTTTATTTATTTTTTAAATGACCGATCGTTTTGCTAGATAAGACCCTTATTCATCGTCTGGTATCATTTAAAGCCCTTAGAAGCTGCACTGAAACTGTCATTTGGACCTTGAAGTCCATTATATGGAGAAAAATCCTGGAATGTTCATCAAAAACCTTAATTTCTTTTCGACTGAAGAAAGAAAGACATGGATATCTTGGATGACATGGGGGTGAGTTAATGATCAGCAAAAGTTTTTTTTTTTTTTTAAAGTGAACTAATCCTTTAATACACTATGGGCCACAAAACATGTTTGGCTTTTAGGTGTCCTTCAGTAGCCTAAGAACTAGAAAAGTCTTAAGCAACAGAATGGTTACATTTCAAAAAGATCAAGCTTGACAGTGTCTTTGCACTAAGTCTGGCTCGGTGAGGGCGCATTATAAGGCCTCCATGACTAAATACCCTTTCCACTGGTGCACTGGTGGCAGGAACGGCAAGCAGTTTCATAGACACAAGATAAAGCCTGGGGAAGATCTTTGGATGCTTTTGCCAGAAATCCATACGGTCAATTTCTTCTTCAGAGCACACCTGGATGTAGCGAATGACCTTTGCAGGATGTGTGATGGTCTGCTTTTTTCTTGGTACTCTTCTTGCGGTAGCCAGAGAAAAGCCGTGGAGTTTTAGCGGGTACTGGTGGCTCCTCCTCATCTTCTCCACTGCTGCCCTCAGATATGGTGACTTTCTGACCCTCAACCAAGAGAAGGTCTGAAAATATTCCACAAAAATTATGGTTAGTTACAATATTATGACGTTAATACACTAAATGCACAGTGGTGATGATTAAGTAATGAATCAATAAAAAGTAAGACAAGATTTGAATATGTTAGATGCGTAATGTGATGATAATCTTTTAAATCTGTTAATGTGTATTATTCACCTACCTATCATCATCTCCTTCACCTCACTCTTGACTTCATCTGGTGCAAGAACATCTTGTTCTAGCCAAAAGAGGCAGAATGATGGGTCTAGTAGTGCAGACAACATGTAGACCATATCTCCAAATGGAAGCTCTACAGGGTGTTGTGCTGTTTCATCCATTCGGACATTTGCAAACATCCCCTGGAAACGGCGTTGGAGTGACTTCTGCAGTGCTTTCACTAAGCCAACCAGATGACGAAATGCATTCAGCATATGGATAAGGTGGCTGTTGAGTGAGAGTACACAAGGGAGAGCCCCACTGACAGTCACCACCTTCTCTCCTTGTGTAAGGTCTGTTGCTTGCAGAAATGGGGCTAAAATGTCCACAAGCTCTTTGAGCTGACTCCATTCTCTGGCTGATAAGCACAGGCCTTTATGTCCTTGGGCTTCCAGGAGAGAGTTTAGGCTTTGGGGATCCAGGTCAGTGACTGCCTCCACAAGGCGAAGAGTTGTGTTCCATCGTGTGGACACAGCTGAGGGGATGCTTCGGTTTGCTCCATATTCCTCCTCAAATGCTTCCTTCAGTCTACAAGTAGAATGGAGTAAACTGCAAAATTTTGTCACTTTTGCCATTGCACTGTTCAGCGTTCTTGTCTCCTTTAGTCCATCTCTTACAACAAGCTGCAATGAATGTGCAAAGCACTGCAGCCGCCGCTGCCGATAGCTGCTCTGGATGGATTCCACATCATCCTGGTATTCCTCACTTACTTCCTCCCACATGCAGCTGTTTCCCAGCTCATCTTCATCATCATCTTCTTTGTCAGTTTTAGCAGAAGGGAAACAAACTGTGAAGGCTTTCTTCATATTTGAAGCATTGTCGCAGATGATGTAATCCAATTTATGTTTTATATTAAAGTTGTCACATATCTCCTCAAATTTCTCACTTATTCTCTCTCCAGTGTGTGACCCAGTGAATCGTTCACAACTTAGGAGAACTGTCTGCAGTCTTCTTGGGCAGTCTTTCTCCTCAATTTCCATGAAGTGGGCTGTTACCCCTAAGAAGCCACGCATGCCCCTGTCAGTCCAGATGTCCACTGTCACAGACACATTATTAATCTTTTGTAGTTTACATTTTATCTTGGATTCTTTTTCTGCTACTAGCTCACTCAGACGTCTGGTTACGGTGCTTCGACTTACTGGGCAGTATCTCTCCTCTAAGCCCTGAATCAAACTCGCTATGCTAGCACATCCGAGGACAGCAGCACAGGCGAGCCATCTTCAGAGGACTTCAGCTCACCTTGTGATGCGGCGATAAACATGATTTCCTCAGCTGGGGGACCGAATGAGAACGCGGGCCCGCAGACGGCCCCGCCCACTCACTCTGGACCACGTGGGTTGCAACGTGCAAGACGGGGTGTGGACCGAGGAATTTCGTCGGTTTAGTTCCAGACCTGACGTCTTTTTGGTCACCCTGGCCACCAGCCAAAGCATTATCTCACGTGGAGAAAATAGTTCGGGTTGTGGATGAGGGGACTCTCACTCTACTGAGCTCATTGAGTCTCAACCGTTATACATTGCGATGATCACGTTCCCACTGAGAGAACGTGACACACCCACGAGCGCTGTCTGAGCGTGATCAAAGCTCAAACACGTCAAACAGCTGATTCTATCAGAATACCACACTCAGGAATACACGGCAGATCGTCTTCAAAAAGACGCGTCTTTAAAAAGACGTGCCGCGTGCACACTCTTTCAGTGAGAGGAGAAAACTCCGCGGATGTTAAAGCGACCAGGGAGAGACACGCACACTGGCAGACCACTGCTCAGATCGCAGGCAATGTGAAACTCGCTGGGTACCGCCGTCACACCAACACCAGAGAGTTCGCTCGTCTCGAAGAGGTGAGTCACCGTAGTAAAACTCAGATTGTGTGGCTTGTGGAGTGAAGAAGTTCTCTTGGCTCCGAAGCGAAAACATACTGCGGTTGCGTTCACTTCCTCCTTTTACACCCACGGGGTGGGGAGGAGATACGCTATGCAAATTCCGCAGACCCAAGGCATTTTCATGCCATTGGCTCGTTTTTAAATACTAGAAGAAGATTGGCTTTCTATGCGAAACCCCCGTTCTCCGTCATTCCGACGTAACTCGGAGTGACTACGTAAGGGAACTGGCATGTGATTTAGGCAGCATGAAAGCCAACTTGCAACGAATGATTCGTAAATTTTTTATAATTGTAATGAGTAACTAGCAGAACAATAATAAAATATCGAAGTAAAAGTATTAAATTCATCGAAAATATCTACTGAAGTAAAAGTAGAAGTATGAGAAAACAACACTTTAGTAGACTACAGATACAGCATTTTACTACTTAAGTAAAGTACTTAAGTAGTTCTACTTCGTTACTATACATCTCTGAGAAAGAATGACATGGTCATCTTGGATGACATGGGGGTGAGTAAATTATCAGCAAAAGTTTTTTTCAAAAGTGAACTACTCCTTTAATAGTGGTGCAATAACTTCAGAAATGACTCAAGACTGTGATGTATCCACTTTGGGTCGAATCTGCTTGGGCTTGATAGTTACTTGAGGCTATATTGTTTAATCTACTGTTTAAGAAAGTTTAAAGGTAAAAGAAGCATACCTCATATGTGCTGATTGAGTGTGTGTGTGTGTGTGTGTGTGTGTGTGTGTGTGTGTGCGTGTGTGTGTATGTGTGTAGATGAGGTCCATGTGAAGGATGAGGGGCACGTGAGGATGCGCGAGCGTCTGCTGTGGGACGAGCCGCTGCAGATCTCCTGGCTGATGGAGGCCGAGCCGTTCACCTTCTCCCTGCAGTCGGCGGGTCCTGTGGCCGACGTGACCCTGGAGCAGAAGACTACCTTCGCCTTTGTCATTCTCCTCTTTGTCTTCCTCTGCATGCTGATCATGCGCTGCTTCCGAATCCTGCTGGACCCGTACCGCAGCATGCCTACCTCCACATGGGCTGACGGGCTGGATGGCCTCGAGAAGGGACAGTTTGATAACACACTGGCTTAGAAGAAACAAACACACACATGATGATGATGAAGGCAAACAACCCTTCTGCTGTCATTCACAAACACATGACGCACTGTGTAGAAGAAATACATGAAGAATACTGTAATTCTGCATTTGAGCAGCTCCGCCACAAGCTTGTGAAGATGATGAACACACACGAAATACTGTGCTCACTGCCATCCACATATACGATTTTGTTTCAGAAAGTTGTGAGCAGTGCATTATTACAGCCTGAATGGATGTTGAGGTCTTTGGGGCACAGGGTAGTCCTCTTTTATATCCTCCCCAAACCCTATTTTCCTCATATCTGTGCTGTTGTTAACTGCCAAGTACAAATCTCTAGAAGAGAAGCTCTTTCTAAACCGTTTATAAGCACTTCATAAACACCTCTGACGCTTTTGTCAAAATAGCCTTAAAAAACATTCACTCGACCGCTGTCAGAGTTTACATATTTCATCACTGCAGTGCTTCTAGGCTCATCCAGGGCCTTTTTTAGAAATATTTAGGTGATGTTAATACAAAGTTAGGCTAGGCTGTTAGATGAGCTGTTGATTTGTTGTGTAAAATGTGTCTTCACAGGTTCTGAACATTTGAAATCTCATTATTCATGGTAGTAATCACAGGATTTGTCAGCCTTACAGCACAACAAATACTCTGATCCTAGATCTGGTCTATATCTGTATTCATAGGCTGTAGTTTCGTGAGCCTTACCATACGAAGCTGCCATCAGCAGAGCCATCATATTGTGAAGCTGCTCGATTTGTTTGAGCTTTCGAGTCAATGATGCTATGATGGAGTCAATGATGCTATGATGGTGTAAATCGAGAACGCTCTGTCTTATGATCAGGCTGTTCATCTCATTGATGATTGTGATGGTTTTTGTTGCACTAATTCATTGTACCTGCTGTCACTGTGAAAGAGCTGACAAGCTTTAGAGCAATTAGTAAACAACATTTTATCATGTCATGATAAAGATTTAACTATCCAAAGCTGCTCATTTGTTTTTGAAAGACTGAAGTATTGTAGTGAACAGACAGAGTTCAGTGTTACCCTGCTGCTCTTTCCATGATACGAAGCATAAACACTCTGTCTGTGAGTTTAATGGGTTGAACAGGACAGTATGTGGAGCCTCAAATCAATGAGATGTTGTAAGAAACAGATGTTGTAAGAAACAAATGTCTGTGCATTAAGAGTAGTAATAAATGTATGAGCACCACTATACTCAAACAGAAAATGATTCAGAAGTATAATGCTTTGTTTTAATGGTGTCATTAAAACACATTTGGTGTTCCCACCCCATTTATGTTTCAGAGAGATGAATAATAAAATTTTTCCAATGCAAGTATAAATGGCGTTTCCTTCTTTACAGTTTTTTTACAGTCGCAAGGACACATTTTTCAATACTTAGGTCACTTTTTCAAAACTCTTCACACAGTGAGCACAACAGAAGTATATGTGGACTAAACTGTGGATCAATTATCATTGCTTTGGCACAAAATGCATTCAATGACAACATCTTTCAAATTACAATCATTCTTTTCTCACTTCGACACAACAACCGCCAAAACTCTGTGTACCGACAGGCAAATGTGCACATGCTTACATACTGTTTTCAAAACTGTTAAACTTAAGTTCAAAACAATAACATAATACAAAACTGAATTAGACAGCAATTTGCTACATTTCTACAGTAATATTTTAACAAAATATATATTTTACATCTTAAAATTAAATGCTATAAAAATAAGTGGACAATTGGACCACTGATTCTCATTGTAGATGAACATCTACAAAGGTGTTAGTTCCCTTTCGTAGTCACTCCGAGTTACGTCGGATGATGGAGAATGGGGGTTTCGCATAGAAAGCCAATCCTCTTCGAGAATTCAAAAATGAGCCAATGGCATGAAAATGCCTTGGGGCTGCGGAATTTGCATAGCGTATCTCCGGCCCACCTCGTGGGTATAAAAGGAGGAAGCAGACGCAACCGCAGTATGTTTTCGCTTCAGAGCCAAGAGATTTCTTCACTCCACAAGCCACTTTTCCCTGAGTTACAACTCTTCGAGACAAGCGTCCTCTCCAGCGTTGGTGTGACGGCGGTACCCAGCGAGATTCTGCATTGCCTGTGATCTGTGCAGTGGTCTGCCAGATTTTGCGCTTCTCCCTGGTCACCTCAGCGCTGAAAGAGTGAATTTCCTCCTCTCATTCTGAAAGAGCTGCACGTGGAACGTCTTTTTAAAGATGGTTCGCCCGTGTTCTTCTGGGTGCGGTCGATTCCTATCTTCCTCTGATGGGCCCGAGCGCTGTTTTGTGTGTCTGGGCGTTGAGCACGCAGAAGCAGCGTTCGTGGATGACTCATGTTCTTTCTGTGGGAAAATGACCATCGCAACACTGAGATTGAGACTCAATGATCTTACTGTGAGAGTCCCCGCGTCCGTTACCCGTTCTGCTTCCTCTACTAGGGGGAGCTCTTCGGCTCGCGGACAGGGTGATCTGACGGTCACGGTGTGGAATAAAGCCCCAACGCTTGTTCCTCGGGCCACACCCCCCGCAGCAGTGTTGCAACCCGCGAGCACTGAAGAGATTCAGACGAGTGCCTCTTCGCAGGTACCGTCTGTTTCGTTCGGTGCTCCGGAGGATGATGCGATGTCGATCCCATTCTTTCCCATTCTTTCCCGAACTGTATGGGGAACTGACGAAGACCTGGAAGGCTCCTTTGACCTCCCGTGAGCACTTGTCAGTCTCCCCTAGCCTTTCCTCCCCTCGACGGCGCGGCTGTCCGTGGGTATGCTGGGGTTCCCCCGGTGGAGCGCTCTGTTGCATTGCAACTGTGTCCTCAGAGCGCGTCCTCTCGGGGTATTCCTAAGCACCCCTCCAAAGCCTGTAGGTTCTCGTCGTCAATGGCGGCAAGGTCTTATAGAGCTGTGGGACAGGCGGCCGCTGCCCTGCATACCATGAGCACCTTGCAGGTATTTCAAGCAAAGCTGCTCAGGGATATGCACAAGGGTGGGACTGACCCAGGGGCTTTTAACGAACTGCGTGCTGCCACTGACCTCACTCTCCCGGCGACTAAGGTGGCCTCTCGCTCCCTGGGTCAGGTGATGGCCACTAGCGTGGTCCAGGAGCGTCATCTTTGGCTTAACCTGGGAGATGTGCGGGACGCCAAGCGGACTCGTCTGCTCGACGCCCCCCTCTCCCAGGCTGGCCTTTTCGGCAGTGCGGTTGAGGACTTTGCCCGTCCAAAGCGGCGTCCCTGAGACGGGCTGCTCAGTGATGGCATCAAGTTTTTCCCAGGAGGTGGTAGCAGGCCCCCTCCTTCCCCTGGTGGAGGGCCGGGGGAGAATCTTTTGTTCTCAGCTCCCCGCTGCTCACCCACAGGTGGGCAGCACCCTGAGTTGGTTAAAGAAAGACTTGACACCATCACTGAGCACACAGACTGGAATGGGTGTGCACGACGTCCCCGTGCGTCGTGCTGTCTCTGAGAGAGTGGAAGGAAGTGTGTGTTGTAGTGTTAATTTTACCAGCCATTTTTAAATTTAGTTTCAGTTTTAGTCCAGTTTCAGCATCGCTTGTTAGTTTTTATCACATTTAGTCGACATCATCCCATTTTTATTTAGTCTAGTTTTAGTCGACTATAAGTCGAGCATTTTAGTCTTTATTTTAGTCCAAGAAAACATAATTTTATTCGTTTAGTTTTAGTCGAAAAAAAATGTCAACATTTTAGTCTAGTTTTAGTCAGGACATCATTTTAACCTTTTACTTTTTTGTCAGCAGATAATATTTAACATTTCCTAAAATTATTTCACTTTTCAACATTTTCTCTCATCTTTTTGATAAAAAACACAATTTTAAGGAACACATGCAGACATGGAAGATGTTCTGACAATATTTGCATATTTATTTTGAACATTGTTAAGGTTCAAAGACACAAACACAAATGCTTGCATTAAAACAAATAAAATACACCTGACAAAGGAAACAAATAAATAAAGTGTATTATGAACTTAACACAAGTGCTAGTTCACATAGAATAATAAAATAAATATTTGAGGTCAATGTTGTGAAAAAAAAAAAAAAACCTCCAACTGATACAACAAAAGTGCTTTCCTGCCAGCTAGTTCACATGGTATATAAAGGTACAGTATTTAAGGTGAAACAAGGCATAGCTTGCTAGAACGTATGAAATCTTTTAAACTAATCTTTTTAAAGCGTCTGTCTGCTTTAATCAAATTTAACTGAAACTATAGTTGCCCGGCCAGTATAACATATCTAAGTTAGCATAAATTTAACTTCACATACAATTCTATCAACAAGTGGCTACGGTCGCTACGTGCTAAGAAGCTAACGTAACATAGCCAGCCTGGATACTAAATGCTATGAAAGTTAGCCATCATTAGTTAGTTTATCATTGTAACAAAATGTGTCCATATATCACGTCGCTTCTTTCTCCCGAGCCCCGTGCAAAGCATGTTTTACTTTTAACCTGTCGCCGCCGCCTCACCGTGAATCCAGCTCCTGTCTGCTCCGTGTTGTGTAGGCTACTCTGACTGACTGTGCCCGCCCGCTCCAGGTTTAAAAGTGGGTGTGTGGCGGAAGAGCTGACGAGGAGGAGGCGGAGGAGGAGACAGGATTTGACAAAACCATATCATATAATAATATGTAATTTTCGTCTCGTCTTTGTTCGTGAACTAAAATGTCCATAGATTTTAGCCTAGTCTTTATTTACCGAACTGCATTTTCGTCTCGTCTTTCTTAGTCTACGAAAATTATTTCTGATTTACTCCCAGTTATTGTTTATTAGTGGGGATTTTAGTCTCGTCTCGTCTAGTTTTCGTTCGGTGAAAAATGTGCGTTGACGAAAATATTTTCGTTTAGTTTTCGTTAACGAAATTAACACTAGTGTGTTGTCCCCGGACCACGCCGCTCCCTTCCCCCTCTATCGCCAGACCCCCAGCAGAACAGACCCCCGTGGAACGCTGGTCTTTCCCTGGTCTCCTCTGTCG